AGGAATTCAGGTGTGCAACTCCTTGCTTGATCCTATCACTAGCAATTGTTTGTTCAACCTAACCAACTCCAGTTGCCAAAACAGCAGAAGAAGTCAGGATATAGAAAGAATTGCCACAGAGGGTTTCATTCATCTGAACCCAAGACACTAATGCTGCTAATTCGAATTAAAAGACAAATAAAGGTGAGATTCCAATCCTGCAACAGTTCCGTCATCAATGCTTCCGCAAAACATTACGTTCCTTCTAGATCAGTGGTTCTCAACCTTTTTAATGCCGCGACCCCAACCGGTCGTAAGTCGAGGACTACTCAACCAGTCGTAAGTCGAGGACTACTCAACTGGTGCAGCACCGTGTGCAGAATGGGACTTTTGGCGGGCTCAGCAGGGCAGAGACAGCCTGGACAATTCCTATTGGCTTTTGAAAGCCAATAGAATTAGACTCTATTCAAGAGAGTCTATTCTATTGCTTTCAAAAGCCAATAGAATAAAAGGGAGTAGCACAGCTAAGGAAAAGGGGGAAAAAATGGTGGACTGCATTGTTTGGCGACCCCCGTGAAATGGTCGTTCGACCCCAAATGGGGTCCCGACCCACAGGTTGAGAACCACTGGGTTAGGATCACCAGATCTGGGCTGTTAACAGCCAAAAATACTCACTACATGGCATGGTGTCAAAGAAACTCAGAAATTTTTGCAACCTACATCTGGGATATCTAATTAGTTAGAAGGACTAACAGAAAGAAAAATTATCACCGTATCCATTTTCAGGCAGATAAATTCAGGTCGTCCTCAACTTAGGACAACTCATTTACTGATTGCCCGAAGTTACAAGCACTGGAAAAAGTGACTTCAGACCGTTTTTCATACTTGTGACCATTGCAGCACCTCCATCGTCATGTGATCAAACTTCAGACTTGGCTTGGCAACTGGCTCACATCTATGACGGCCGCAGCTTCCCAGGGTCACGTGATCCTCTTTTGCAACCTTCTTTCCAAGCAAAGTCAGAGGGGAAGCCAAATTCACTTAACTATGCTACTGACTTAATAACTGTGGCGATTCGCTTAACGACTATGGCAAGAAAGGTCACAAAATGGGGCAAAACTCAGTTAACTGTTTCGCTTAGCAACCGAAATTTGTAGCTGTAAATCGAGGACTATCACTAATTTGCATGGAGCCATGGTGGCCGTCTACTCCAACTTTCCCCAACTCTCCCAACAAAACAAACAAGAGCACTAACTCCGAGTAGAACAGTGATTTAAAAAAAGTGTCTCTGTGATCGTTTTTTTTTCACACTTGTGACTGTGGCAGCATCCCCCCTGGTCACGTGATCTAAATTCAGACGCTTGGCGACTGCTTCCTATTTGTGACGGTTGCGTGTCCCGGGGATCCTACGGATCACCTTCTTTGACCTTCTGAACGAGCAAAGTCAACAGGGAAGCCAGATCCACTTAACAACTGTGCTACTAACTTAACAACCGCAGTGATTCGCTTAATAACTGTAGCAAGAAAGGTCATAAAATGGGGCAAAGCTCACTTAACAAGCTGCCTTGCTTAGCAACGGAAATTTTGTACTCAATTTATACGAGCGCTATTGAAAATGGAACAGTTAAAATGAGAATACCAACAATTAGCTTTGTGTAATAACCCAAACCAAATTAAAGGCCAAAATCTTACTGAAATTATACCAAAATTAAACTCGCTTCCTCAATGTAAGGCAGACTGGGGCTGTGCATACGTCTGAGGGTTGGGAGATATTATTATTGCCTGTTTACAAGGAGCACAAAAAGCTTTCCCTGGATGTCCAAACTGAATGACAGATACTTTTTGGGAAGTGTTTCCTACATACAGTAATCCAGTGCTGTGTTGCAATGGCAGAGTTTGCATAACACAAGACATTATGCCAAACCAAGCAAAGCACCTCACTTTGAGCATGACAAAGGGGCCCATTTTCTTTGTTGTTTTAATCCCAGTGGACTCATGGGGGTTATTTCTCTAGAAGCAGAAGTCTGAGTCAACTCATCCAGAAGTGCCTGGTAGGTCTGCATTAGGCTTGAGAAATGAACAACGTGGTGGTAAAAAAGAAAGCAATACACCCAAGGAAAACAGCCAAAGCTTTGCCCAACCTAGAAAACCAGCCTGCTGAGCGTTCCTAGCTTTGCAATGTCCCTGTTCTTAAGCTTTGCCCAACCTAGAAAAACAGCCTGTTGAGTGTTCCTAGCTTTGCAATGTCCCTGTTCGTTCAAATGTTGAGAGAGAGAGAGAGAGAGAGAGAGAGAGAGAGAGAGAGAGAGAGAGAGTGAGTGTCACATCAGCCTGGCAATAAGCCATGTCCTATGCCCCACTGCTATCTGAGCCAAGATTGGTGAGTAACAAAAGAAACACAGAGCTTTTATAACCATCCTACCTGGTTAAGACATAAATTTCTGCCTTGCTTTCATATTCTGCTGAGCGGAGGAGCTGTTACCCTGTGGAAGAGCATATGGGTTGCACACAAAAGGCCCTGCATTCAATCAATTCCTAATTATCTCCCAAGAGGAACAGAAAAGGCCACACATTTGAATGACAGTTGTTTCACACATTCAAAGATGGGAAATCTTGCTGGAGTCACAAAAAGAGACTTGATGAGATTATGGAGATGGCTGCACTTGATTGTTTGAAGCCTGCAACTGATTTGTTTTCTAAGGATTGTTTTTTAAGTACAGGCCTAAGGTATCCATTTGTATCTCTGTGGCTGAAAAGTAGCACCAAAAAAAAAAAGTGGGGGGAGTTTAAAAACAAATAAATTTGCTGCCAGGTCTATAATATGATTGTGAAGGGACTTGAAGAGGGTCAATAAGTGGCTTATTCCTGTTCTGCTTCATGGTTTGGTAGGTAGGATTCAATGGCATGAGTTCACACACAACACTCAGATATAAGACTTGGTGAATAAAACAGAAATTATGAAGTTACCCAGCAGGTTATCTCAAAACAAAATGATTTGCCTTTGGCTGTATGCTAATCCAGTCAATACTCGAGTTAAAAAGGGCCACATAGATGACCTTGGAAACTTAAACGTGGACAGAATAGTGGATATTAAGTGTTTTCAGCATTTATTTTAGTTTCTCTATTCCAGCACTACAGCTTTTGTTTTATTTTGAGTTCAGTATTTTTTTTTTCCTGAGGGTTAGTTACCTCTGATGTTTAACACATGCAGCAAGGTGGGCTACTAAAAGTGGTAAAATGAATTTAAAGAATAAGGAGCTCTCCCTCTCCATTTTATATAACCTGGGAGTTTTGTGTGTGTGTGTGTGTTTTACTGGATGCTTATCCCACAAACTCTCTGGAAAGCTCCAGGACAAAAAGACTAGCAGCATCTCTAGAAGCAGAGGGGGCAGCAGTAATAACAAAGGCAAGTTAGCAATGGGCTACAGGAAAGAGTTGCTTTCTCCATATGCAGCGTTCAGCCACCCTGACCAATAAAAGATAACATTTAAAGATTTTAAAAGTTCAAAAACAAGACCTAAGAAACCAAAAGACCACAACAGATATACATACAAAAACAGAAGATGCAATCAAAAGTATACCAAGAACACACACACACACACCGCGCAAATAGGTTCTCAAGATAGCATTCAACTAGCCAGAACAGATTAAATTGAGCAAATAATGGAACAGAAGGAGCCAATGGCTTTATCTTGGGCCTGGCCATGCTCCCTGAGCCTGGATCCCTGGCTTGCAGTGGAGAACAACCGCAGGGACTCTGAAAGGAGACATCTTTCCAGCTGGAAAAACCTACAGCTTTTGAGGCACCGGAGAAGACTGAAACCTTGCAGAAGTCTTCACAAGCCCTAACGCTTCACCAAACTTGAAAGCTTAATGCAGGGGTCTTCAACCTTGGCGACTTTAAGACTTGTGGACTTCAACTCCCAGAATTCCTCAGCCAGCAAAGCTGGCTGAGGAATTCTGGGAGTTGAAGTCCACAAGTCTTAAAGTCGCCAAGGTTGAGGACCCCTGCCTTAATGCAACCTGATGGAGCTGATGGGTAACCCTTGACTTTCGTCCCTTCCAGCAGGGCGGCTGAGCTTTTCTCCCAGGTTAGGCAGGCTTGCTTTTCTGCCGTTCTGTGACAAATTGCAATTCTCCCCAACAACAGACATAATTCCTGGGGGGGTGGGCGGGGGGGGGCAGGATGGCCGCCCGCCTCCAAGCATCTTTTCTCCACGAACAGAGACGATGCAAGGCCACACCACTCTCGTGCCCCCCCCCTCAAATGCCCCCTATTCCCAGAAGAAGGCCAAGATGATAACCACCAAAGGGGTCGTCGGTGCGCGGCCCACCAGCAGGTGCCTTCTGCAGCCACCCCACCCACCTCCCAACCCCGCTGGGGGGGTATGGGGGGGTGGGTGGGAGAGCGGCCCCGTCGTTAAAAGGCCGGGGCAACCTCCTGACCCACGCCCGCCCCAAGGTGGCAGCTCCGGTTGCCATGGAGACTCACTTTCTCTCTTTTCCCCCCCCTCCCCCCCTATCCCCGCCGCCTATTTCGGGGACCCGCTTTCACCTCCAAGCCCCCGACGTGGAAGATCCGGAGCAGCTCCCAAACCATCCCCACAAACGCAGCCAGGAGGGTCGGGATAGGCAGCCGCCAAAGCCGGAGCGGGCGCGCTCTGTTCCGCGCGTGGGGGGGGGCGCGCTCCGTTCCCGGCCCACGAGCCCCCCCCCGGGAAGTCCGAAGGGGCAAAACCAAAGAAAGGCGGCTCGTGGGGGGGGGGAGAGAGAGAAAAGAGCCGCAATTCGGAGGAGGGGAAGGGGGGGAGAGAGAAGCCCCCCCCCGCGGGTTCCAAATCCGCCCAGCCGAGCCCTTCCCCACCGCCTCTCCCCCTCCTTTCCCTGAGGGGGGAAAAAAAACCCCGGCCGTGCCCCCAATCTCACCCCCCCCGCGGCCTCGAGGACCAAGGACAGGACCCCCCCGCCCCCGTTTTCCAAGGAAGCGCCCGGGCCATGTTCAAAGGGCCCCGGACAATTACCTCGCTCGGAGCTGAGGCCGCTCTGCGTGGCGGAGAGAGGAGGACACTCGGGGGGCGAGCCGCGCTCTGGCTCTCGCTCTCTCGCTCGCTCGCTCGCTCGCTCCGGCGTCTCCTGGCTCGGCTCGCCTTTTCCCCTACAGCCGCTTCTGTCCGGCTTCCATGGTGGGGGCCGCCCGCCTGGGCTGCGAGGCACGGGAGAGGAGGGCGACGGGCCGGGCGGACTAAACAAAGCCCCCCGTGCAGGCGGCGGCGGCGGCGGCTGGCTCCTGCTACTGCTGCTGCTGCTGCGGCTGAAGCGCCAGCCCTACGAGCGCCGCGCAGCAGCAGCAGCGACCCACCTCCATCCTGCCTGCGCCTTCACCTCGCCGCTCCAATTGCACAATAGAGCCGGGCCAGCCTCATCAATATTCATCGCCCTCGCCCTCCTCCCTCTCCCCCCCCGCTGCCACCGACGTTCAGGCGAGAGCAATGGAGCTCCTATCGCGCCGCCTCGCCAGCAGCAGCAGCCTCAGCGGGAGGAGGAGGTGGGGGGAGGAGGCAGAGGGGCGGGGGAGCGCTTCCCTTGGCGCCCTGCACCTATCGCATCGGTATTGCAGGTGACGTGCGCGCGGCGGCGGCGGCGGTGGCTACGTGAGGTGCTGGGCAGGCGGAGAGGGGAGGGGCAGCCCCCGCGGGTCTCGCCTCCCGTCGGGCCGCGCGGAGGGAAAGAGCAGACAAAGGGGGACGAGAGCCCGGCTGCTGCTGCCGCCCTGCCTGCCTGCCTGCCTGCCTGCCCCCCTCTGCAGCAGCCCCCGCTCCGCAAAGGGCCAGGCTGGGCGTGGAAGCCCCGGGCGCGCTGCTTCCGCCCTTCGGCCGCTTGGGGCTTCCCGGGAGCGCGTGGCCAGCCCCGGGCGCTGTCCTAGGCTGGGCGGGGAGGCTGTCTCGCGTCCCAGGCGGGCGGGCGGACCGGGAAGAGAAGGGTCGGGGCGGCCGCCTCCTGCTCCAGCCGAGCTCGGCTGTCTTGGTGCAAAAGCGGCCGAGATGCAAAGCTGCGGTGCAAAACTCGCTGGATGAGCCCAGGCGGCGAAGGCCGGGCAGGCCTTGCACCTCTGAGAGGAGGAGCTGCTCGCAGAACTGGATCGGAGCGGCCGACCTTGCAGGGTTGCTGGAAGGGAGCCGCCAGGAGGAAGCAGAGCTCCCGGATCAGCTGTGCCGTCCCCTATACCAGCCCCCCCCCCCGGTAATCTGCCCATTAATGTAGAGCAGGGTGGCCGACCTTGGTTGGACTTCAACTCCCAGAATTCCCCAGCCACAAGTCTACCATAGGTCTTAAAAGTTGCCATGCTTGGACACCCCTGGTGTAGTAGAGGATGAAGGCTGGGGTGCTGCCCACACTTCCCAGCCATAACTTCCTAACAGTGAGGACAATTAACCAGTGGAACAGCTTGCCCCCAGAAATCGTGGGCGCTCCATCACTGGAGATTTTTAAGAAGAGGCTAGACAGTCACTTGTCTGAAATGGTATAGATCAGGGATAGGCAACCTTGGCTCTTTTATGACTCATGGACTTCAACTCCCAGAACTGAGGGGGGGGGCTGGACTAGAAGACTTCCAAGGTCCCTTCCAGCTCTATTCTATTCAAAATAAAGTGATTCATGCAAAAGGGACCTGGAAAGGAGGGCGGTATGTGTGTGACAAACTGGGACAAGATACTTCCTCCAAAGTATCACTGAAGATGTTACCTAGCCGGGTAACAAAATGTCTGAACGGCAAACTCGGAGAACAAACCGCCACCAGCATCTACCACCTGAGCTACAAATATTTGCTATCATTTCAGGATTGCAAGTTAAGTTTAAGTAATGACTGAAGCTCCCTGAAATTATCTAAGGATCAGAATAAGAATCTGGCAGATCCGGAAGACTTGCATTGGTGGTTTACTTTCTAAATGCAGGTTGTAATTTGGTTTAATGAAGAACCAGGTTCTTGTGTTGCAATAAGCTGCGATGCAGTTGATCCTAAACCTAAGGGATCAAAACTTTCCAAAATGGGGAGGATATAAGAAGCAGTGCACAAAAAACAGTAGGATCCATACCACTGGAAATCACCATTGGGGAATACTTTTTTTCCACTTTGTCTCCATTACACAAGGGGGGGGGAAGTCAGTAGTCAGGTACCCCTTTTTCTGACTAACCCAATTTATTAAAAAGCACCAGCTTTTGGGAATTTCGTTGGATGAATTTGATGAAGTGAGGTGTAGCACAGGAAAGCTGATGCTTTTAATAAAATGTGTTCGTTGGGGAAAATGCCACTTGGCTGTTTATTTATTTATTTTGCTTTCCGTAGACTTTGATATAACTCTCCTACATATCAGGATAGCGATTTTTCAGAAAGAAAGGATGCAGGTATCTCCTCAAAAGGCAGTTTCCAACAGTGGCTGAAGTGTGCATTTCCACACTTCTTCAAGTAGCCAAATTCTACTGAATTAAAATAGTAGCACCATGAAGCTGCTTGGTGCTTTCCTATCCGGGAATGCTGCTACTGTGTACCCAGGAATGGAGAGCTAATCTGATCACTGCAAGGTTTTACAGGTGGTCCTCGATTTAACAACAGTTTGTTTAGTGACCATACAGGTTACAACAGCACTGAGAAATGTGATTTATGGCCATTTTTCACACTTGCAACATCCCCATGATCACCTGATCAGACATCAGGCACTTAGCAACTGACTCATACTTACGACCGTTGCAGGGCCCCGGGGTCATGTGATCACCTCCTGCAACCTTCAGACAAGCAAAGTGAATGGGGAAGCCAGATTCACTTAACAACCGTGTTACTAACTTAACTTCTGCAGTGGTTCACTTAACCAATGTGGCAGGAAAGGTCATAAAATGGGGCAAAACTCACTTAACAACTGTCTCATTTAGCAACGGAAATTTTGGGCTTCCAATATTCCCAGTCAATAATATTGTCTAGCACAGTGGTTCTCAACCTGTGGGTCGGGACCCCATTTGGGGTCGAATGACCATTTCACGGGGGTCGCCAAACAAGGCTGTCCGCCATTTTTTCCCCCTTTGGCCACGCCCCTGGCACATGGTGATGTACAAGTGGTTGGGGGTCACCACAACATGGGGAACTGTACTATGGGGTCGCGGCATTAGCAAGGTTGAGAACCACTGCTCTAGCAGGAGAAAGCGGTCCGACTGGTTCCCCAGCGAGTTGCTATCCAGATGTACCAGACTTCAAGTCCCATAATCCCGCAGGCAGTTGCAGTCATAAAATGACACCCAATCTACTATATTGACAAGAGTTCTTTGGATTAGGACTACGGGAAAGAACCGTGCAGGATTAAGTGTCTTTTCTTGGAAATGATGGTGATTTAGAAAAATATTCTACAGTTTATGATGGGAACAGTCACCCTCTGGAAAAGAACAAAACGATTTTTTTAAAAAGCAACTAGGCAAGTGATGTGAGCCTGGAGGTTGGGGTGGCAGGGAGTGGCCCTGTTTAGTCGCGTCACCAACATAATTTAGCAGGTGCCCATGAAACTCACATAACTGCATTCCACTCTGCCCTCTGCAAAATGTCTCTTTGGAGAAACTCGGTCCTTTTTTTTTTTCCAGTGAAAGTAAACTAGTTGGAATAATGAGCAGAGAGAACTAGCCATTGGAACGGGAAAACTCCCAGGAGAGAAAAAGATTGGATACCATGCGACAAATGAAATACCACACCAAAACTAGCATGCAAATTATAAGTATTTTTTTTTCTATCACTATTTTTCTACTCGGACTCTCTAAAACCATTCCCCCCCCCCAAACTTGGCAACTTCAATTTGCAGTCAAAATCCACACATCTTAAAAGTACATTTGGCTGGGGAATTCTGGGAGTTGAAGTCCACACCTCTTTAAAAAGTTGCCAAGTTTGAAAAACACTGCTCTAAAAACCTTTGAGCAATTCTTGGTCCATCCAGCTCAGCTTGCTGGCAAAGTAGATTCAATCACTCTTTATACTGTAGATATTCAGGCAAGAATCAGTGTAGTGACATTTCTGCCTAAAGATCAAGTGACTTCTTTTCCAAGCAAGCTGCAGGTTGCAATAACTGTTGGGTAAGCAATAACTTGGCTATTCATTTCTTAAACTGAACCAGGAATTATTATTTTTTTTCTTCAGAAGCAAAGTATTAGTTCGTACTTATCCCAGTAGCTTAGTGGTTAGATGCAGTGATACATCTGTGGAGCAGATTTAGTTTCTCCTCCAGATGAAGCTCTAGTAGTTCAACCAGGGAATTAATGCATATTTTATCATCTTGATAAGAAAGACCTCTTAAGATGATTAAATACCAAATCTAAAAGTATCTCGTTGCTGGTGCGCAACTAGAGAAAATACAGGTAGCCCTCAATTTACAACCGTCCTTGAGCCCCAAATTTCTGTTCTTTAAGCGAGAGATTTGTTAAGTGAGTTTTGCCCCATTTTATGACCTTTCTCGCCATAGTTGGTAAGTGAATCGCTGCAGTTAAGTTAGTAACGAGCATTGTTAAGGGAATCTTTGCTTGTCAGAAGGTTGCAAAAGATGGATCAGACGACCCCGGGACAATTGCAACCCTCACAAATAATGAATCAGTTGCCAAGCTGATCACGTGACCCTGGGGAGGCTGCAGCTGCCATAAGTGTGAAAAATGGTCAGAAGTCACTTTTTCAGTGCCTCTGTAATTTCGAATGGACTCTAAACAAACTGTTGTAAGTCGAGGACTATCTGTAATTATGGAGAAAGAGGAGAGGAGGAGGAAAAGACCCCCATCTGACTGAAATGGACCCTGGAAATCCCGAGAAGCTGCAAGCCAAGGATACAGCTAACACAGGCCTCTACATTCCCTCACCCTGGGGCACAGAAACTGAGCACACAATGGGGACTACGGATTGATACTTATCTCCAAGCTCCAGGATTTAATCTCTCAGGACGTGCTGGGAGGGGGTTTGGAGACCAAAGGCCTTTGGGGAAGGGTCCTTTGTAAGGGAGAGCTATCAGAAAGGGAGATGATGCAATTGACTTGCCCAAGAAAGGACAAGGAGTAGATGGCCACCCCCACCCCCACTGGTAGATCATATGCCTTAGACCTCCTGCTGAACACTATTCTCCCATCCTAACCTATATTCCTGAAATACTGTAAAAAAAAACCTTGGGATGAATAAGTCTTTTTTTTTCTTTCTTTCTGGGTATTTGATCAATTCCTGATCTTTAGAATTCTTTTCAAACTGCTTTGTGGGCTAGGCTAGGATTGTTGACTGATCTTAAAACCACCAAAGGAGGGGGGGGGGGAAACAGACTTTGCATCAGAAAAGAGAATGAACTGTTCCCATATTGGATGGCAAGTAGCCCTTGACTCACAGCCACAATGGAGCCCAAAGTTTCTATG